TAGATCCTTGTGATCGGTTCCCCCTTTCTACCCCACCTTCCCTCCACCCTCCCAGTATCGCCACTCTCACCACTGGTCGTGAAAGGATCATCTGTCCTGGATTCCCTATGTTTCCAGTTCCTATCTGTACCAGTGCACATCCTCTGGTCTAGCTGGATTTGTAAGGTAGAATGGGATCATGATGGGGGGGGTGGGGGGAGGCGGGGAGGAAGCATTAAAGAACTAGAGGAAAGTTGTATCTTTCATCGTTGCTACACTGTACCCTGACTGGCTCATCTCCTCCCCGCGACCCTTCTGTAAGGGGCTGGCCAGTCGCCTACAGATGGGCTTTGGGTCCCCACTCCGTACGCCCCCCTCATTCACAATGATATTTTTTGTTTTTTGATGCCTGATACCTGATCCCATTGACACCTCGTGATCGCTCAGGCTGGTGTGCTTCTTCCATGTGGGCTTTGTTGCTTCTCAGCTAGATGGCTGCTCGTTTATCTTTAAGCCTTTAAGACCCCAGATGCTGTATCTTTTGATAGCCGGGCATCATCAGCTTTTTTCACCATGGTGGATATTTTTATTCATCCTGTTCTCCCACCACTCAAAGAGGTTAACAGGCAATGTCTTTCTCTCCATGTGGAGTGTATAATCCAAGCCTCTCTTAATTTCTTCTTGGTTCATCAGATAGCTGGTCCCAATGTTTTGTGTATTCTCTTTATACCTTGATATAACTTTGAAATTGTTTCTAGTTATATTGTAACATCTGGCTCTGGTGGTTTAGGTTTTATTTTTAATTCCATCAGGAGTAGGTGGGAAGTATTATAGTTTTTACAGATACAAAAGAATATGAATTTACACTCCTCATAATAATGAATTTACTAGTTTATTACATTAATTACTTGGATCTGCTCTGTTCCTCAAAGATTACACAGCCCAACAAAACAATTTTTTTGTCTTCTTAGTGTCTTGGTGTTTAGGCTTGTTCCTGGGGTTATTTGGGGTGCTGATTCAGAAAATTGCACTGGTTAGACTGCATCAGCTGCAGTTTCTTGGATATGGTGTTCCACTGTATTTTCAGCTCTGAAAGTATACTCATTCATGAATTCATACTTCAATATGAGAAGGATTCAGACCCAAAAATTACAGGCTAAGACAAAAAAACTAAGAAATATTTGAAAGAGAATTAGTTATTAAGGGAAATCCTTTGTTTATTCATTGAGCTGCCCATTATAAAGCCAGTGGTTCAAACCCACCAGTCACTCTGCAGCCTTTAAAATATTTAAAGGTTAGGAAACTCAATAGGAGCACTTCTTCTCAGTCCTATTGGGTCGCTGTGAGGTAGAATCAATTTGATGGCATCAGGTTTTTCTCTTTTTATGGGAGGCTGTGCAGTGTGTACAGAGACTACAAGTCAGATACTGTTAAGCCAGAACACAGCTTGAGCAAAATAGAAATTTAAAAAATAAAATTGAAAACACGCATATTTGGAAGGTGTGAGGGTAATTTAGAGTGTCAAAAATGTAAGACTTATTAGCAGTTTGCATCCATATTTTGACGACCTAAGTTTTTCTTCTTAAGATTATACAGTAGCATTCCAGAACACATTTTAACATAGAGAAGTCAATGGATCATTCATGTTAAATGTCTCGAGAAGTGAGGTTGGCTCCAAACTTCTTTTAAGAAAAATTCTAACTTTTATTTTAGGAGTTTTCTGTGTCCAGGTGAAGAAGTTGTGCCATCTTAACACAAGACTGGAACATTTTAATTTCAATGAATTTGAACTCTGACAGACTCATTTGTGATTTGGGAACATTTAAATCTCTACTAATTGGTGCCAAACTCACAACCAATGAGTTGATCGTGACTCGTAGCGACACTATAGGACAGAATGGAATCTCTCCTGTGGGTTTCTGAGACTGTAGATCTTTTTAAAAATCATTTTATTGGGGGCTCTTAGCAGTTCTTATCATGATCCATATATACATCCATTGTGTCAAGCACGTTTGTACATATGTTGAGGCTGAAAATCTCTATGGGAGCAGAAAGTCTCTCTCTTGCAGAGTGGTGGGTGAGCTTGAATAGCTGGCTGTGTGGTTAGCAATCAAACACATAACACACTACACCATAAGGGCTCCTTACTTATTGTACGGTAAGGTTTATGTCTGATCCTTTTTTAAGAGAATAAATTGGAACTGCCTACTATTCAGTTCCTAATAAAAGTGAAGTGATACATGGGGGAAATTCCAAGTTCATGTAATTTGCGCTGTTCAACTATATCTTTAAAGGACACGGTGTGAATTATAACAACCTAAATCTTTAGTACAACACAAACTACTTTAAATAAAGCTAGTGTGCACTCCCTCACAACATTAAAGTATCCTTATTTTTTTACGGGTGAGTAGAGTGAAGAATGATATATGGCGTATGTTTTGTATCTCAAAAAGTAGGACTAATAAGGGAAAACCGGTACCATTTTTTAAAATCAGCAGGCCAGATATACTTAGAAATAAGTCTAACATTTGAGGTACGAAAATATGAGTATCACATTCTTAAGGAGCTCAGTTGAAGCTGCTCCTTCTCCTCCCAGGCTCTGCAGTCGGCTCCTGTCCCCACTGGCATGGCCTTGCCCATGCTCTGCTCTGTTGTTTGGCATACTAGCAGAGCAACTGGGAGGAGCCTTCTTCAACATTCTCTCACTGTTGCCTGCTTGTCTCCATCCCCTGTTCTTTTAGAAGTCTACAACATTGCCTACCACCTCTGCTGACTAAAACCTTTGCCCTGCCTTTGCTCCCATTGTCCTCACATTTGCTGTATTTTGCCGTCTACGGAGATGTTATTTCCCATCCTCAGTGAAGCCATGATGGGGGTGCAAATAAGGGTGCAGCTGAAGAAGGACAGTTGAGGCCCATATCAGGGGAAATTACTGATAATTATTCCTGGAGTTCTTTTGAGGATGAAATAAAATCACTTATCTGCAAAAGGACTTTGTAGATTGAAGTAACTGTCACCCACCCAGAGGGTGCCACACCTCGTGTCATTTCACCATTTGAAAACTGCTCAATCTGTCCAGCTTTTGCTGAAAAATTTCCCCTCCGATTTGACTTCCTTCCTTTGCTGTCCGCTCTTCTCTCTCCTTTCTTTTGTATACCCCATGCATCTTTGCCTTGACTTTCTCCCACCTCTGGCCACCTCAGCTTTGCCTCCCTAGTTTGTAGCTCCTCCTGGTTTTATTGGCCTTCTTGCTGGTCCTGGACCTTGATGAGTGTTGCATCTTCCTTGTGTCTGGTAATAGGCTATGTGTGGGGAAAACAGAGATGAAATCAAATTTAGACCTAAGGGGATTCACAGTCAGGTTCAGAAAACAGGCAAACAAACATGTTATTTGTGCTCAAGGTGCTAAAATCCAGGAGACTGGAGCTATTCCAGGATTTCTCTCCAGTTCCCACGGGCTCCTATTCCCCTGGC